TAAATTTTAAGGACCTTTTTAGAAGAAGTGTGTCAAGAAAAAACCCAAACCCTGAAGCCTCTAGCCAGAAATCAGGGTACAGAGGGGATGGGCAATGCCCTGATAGGGAAGGCACCACATCTAGAAAATCCGTCTGGCAGAAGTTAACAGCTAATCCATTTATTTTTTATTTGAAGTTACCGACTCAATAATACTGGAGATTAATTATGATACAGTTATTAATCCATGATAAGCTGAATAGCTGGGCTTTTCAGAGGGAGAGCAAGTTAATGGGGTATTTTCCAAGGATTTAAATGGGAGCAGTTGTCTCCAGATTAATGGGCTGGCACAGGGCTGATGTGCCATGAGGAGGCTTTTGGGCTCCCACGGCACCTTTCACACGCAGCCCACAGGCCCCCTCCTCCCCATGCAAAACAGGTTTTTTTCAGTGTAACATCATCATTTGGTGGAACACAGATTTTTCTGCCAGTTCCTGGTGATGGGGCGAATCTCTCCCTTCCTCAGCCCAGGGGCAGGGCTGCTGCTCACCTACCTCTGCCCAGCACCCAACCTGCCAGGACCCTGGAGGGACATCCCTGTGCCCCAAAAGGGAAGGAGGAAGCCTGGGAATAAGCAGAGGGAAGGAAAATGTGCAGTTGCACACTGTGCTGCTCCAAGCATCACCTGATCCCTGCAAATATCTTTAAGACGTGATAAAAACATTAAATTTCCCCACTGAGATTCCAGGTTATTCAAATCTGATCTGAAAAGCTATTTTTAATCATCTTTGCTCGCAGCTGAAGGGAGCAGCCGAGGCCAACCGAGCAGGAGGACTCAGTGTGCTTGTCCTTCATTGAATTTGCAGAAGCTTAAAAGATGAACCCTGCACTGCTCGGCCACAAGGTCACCATCGACACGCAGGTCGGTGCCACGTCTGTCCCTGATGGACATTAAAGGCCCTTTAACCCATGGGGTGGGTGTGGATCTGTTGCCCTGGAGCTGAGGAGAGCCTGATGCTGCATCCACATCCCAGGAGTTTGGGGCTCAGCTCCCACCCAGGCTGGTCACAAATCAGGGGTCCCAAGCAAGGGCCACCCCAGCTTTGAGGCCATCCCAGCTCCAGCACAGCCACTGCAGCCCAATTAGACTGTAATCCTGGATTTCTGATAGTGCTTAATACATTGGATGCTATTGCAGACAAAGCACCACTGAGCATCACCCTCTTCATTAAAGACAACTACAAGACTGCATGCATGACATGGAACCAAAAAAGGAGATTGGTTCTCAAATTGTTGGTAATTAACAGCTGAGGAGCTCCAGCAGCAGGGGCAGGCAGGAGGGAACACTCCAGCAGCTGACCTTCAAGATGCCGAACGGAACAGGGTAACTCCCACTGACCCCTCTCCACTACTGGGGCAGAACTGGCTCCCAGGGGGTCCCCACATCCCCCCCCAGGCACCCACCCCCTCTGCTGCAGACCCAGCACTGCTGAAGCTGTCACAGCGATTTCTCTGCTCATCTCAAACCTCTCTGCTCTGCAAACGTGCCAAGACAGACGCTGGAGCAGCTGATTGGGGAACCCAGGACCTTCCCCTTCGCACGGAGCTGTTACTGCTGTGCGGGTGGGGACAGTGCCAGGCAGCCCGGGGGGGTCCGGGCACGTCACACCAGGAGGGCACACAGAGCAGAGGAAGAGCTCACAACATGGGCTGGCACTGGGTGCTCCAGTCCAACCTGCACACCCAGCCTTGGCTTTGGGTGCGGGGGAGCAGTTTGAGGGGTCTCAGGTCTTGCACAGACCCTCTAGCAGAAAGGGCGCCTGAACAGGGTGTCCTTGTCCCCAGCACCCACCACCCAGCCGAGGGGGTACGAGCTGCTGTCAGCTCAGATCTGCCCGGGAGGCTCCTGTGGTGGAGGAGGACACTTCCCCCCCACATCTCAACAAGATGAGAGCTGACAGGGCCCGGGGATGCTGGTTCTGGCAGTGGGAGAGAACAAGCTGCTATTCACATCCCCTGACTTTTTGGGGACACTGCTGAAAGGGTCTTTTCTGGGATCAGGGGACAGCAGGGGAGGAAATTCCTGAAACACTGCATCTCAGCCCATCCCATGGATAGGCAGCCCCTGGGGTCATCCAGGAGGACAAAAGGAAGCAGCAAACCCTTGTCCCCTGCCCTGCCCCAGCAGTTTGCACCAGCATGAAAGCAGCACTGGAGGCTGTGCCCGCAGCCTCTGCTCCCCAGTTTGGGGCAGCACTGGCTCCTCCTGCCCATTCAGCACTAGAACTGGGGGTCCAGCCCATGGCTGCAGGACTACGAGGACATCAAGAACAAACTGAGCTCACTTGGGCACCCTTGAAAATCACAGGCAGTAATTAAATCACTCTTGACCCAGTTGGACTTGAACTGGCATCTGCAACATGAAAACATCTTTCATCTGTGAACAGCCTGTATTAATTGCTGCTGCACTGCAATTCAACATGAGACAACAGAAATCTATGATTTGCCTTGCAAGAAAATGCCTAATGAACAATAATTTGTTTTTAAATTGGAGGTCTTTCTGGCAAGGCACTAATAAATTGTAATGATACTGATTATCGCGTCTGTTTGCCAGCCAAGTTGCTCCACAGCTTCGCCCTGTGAAGCGCAAGCGCTTCCAGGCTTTGCAGAAACAACTGATGGGAGAAGCCAGAGAGGAACTGGGGCAGATCGAGCAGCATCAGTGAAAGGCACCTTTGCTGTAGCTGTGGATGGCAGTGCCAGATGGGGGTTCCAGCACTGAGGAACCTCCTCTCTTTGTCTAACTCCATTAGTTCATTTCACCCCTCATCTTTAGAAACCCCCACCTCTCTCCAAGGCTCCCCCAGCAATGACACATGATCAGAGCTGGGTGTTTGCTGCAGCTTGGCCAGGAGATGCCTGGGAAGGGACCACAGCTCCCATGGCCACAGGCAGGAACGTGCTCTCAGCACCCAAAGGTGCTGGTTCAGCTGGTGAAGGGCTCCAGGCGGGGTGTGGTGGGGCAGGACTCCCTTGCTCCAATCCTCCCTGCTTGGCCCTGCCTGCACCCTCCTGCCCACACTGCAGCCCAGCCAGGAGCACCTGGAGCTTTTCCAGGAAAGTGCTGGTCCCCTCTTCTCAGCAGTGGGGGACAGTTGTGTCTGGGGGAGATCAGCCCCTCTCCAGTGCAGACACGGGGCCGGGTCGCACCCAGAACCCGCAGTGCCAGCAGCACGCGGTCACCAGAGAAGACGCATCACATCAGCCAGTTCCCGGCCCTAATCTGTCACTCACAGCCACGTGTTCCCCAGGCTCACGCCTCAGGAGGCTGGGAAAGGTTTCCCGTGACAAAGCTGGAAATGACATTTTTAACCAGAAGCCTGGGGAGAAGGCGGCTGCGGAGGGAGCCCCGTCCTGTGCCGGCAGCGCTGCCCAGCGCCGCAGGACGGGGGCGGGCAGCAGGCGGCTCTGCTGCTTCCCCACATGAGCAAATCACAGCCCCACGCAAACAGAAGCAACCTTCATCCTCAACGGCAGAGAAAAGTCCAGAGGGCTGTGCCCGCCTGCTGGGGCCCGGGACACTGGCTGAGGCCGGGGATGATGCAGAAGTACAAAGTACATACTTGCATGCTCTGAGATTCTTTGGCTCAGTAGGAAACACATCCCTGGACAGGCTCCCATTGAGCCACAACCAGGTCCAGGACAGTCTGGAAGCTGCAGGCTGGAATTTATGAGCCCTGTTCCCATTAAAATAGCAGGCAGTATTTCCACCTGTCAGTAAAGGATGATAAACAGACCAGCTCCTTTACATACCCCATACCTGGCTCAGACAAAACCAGCACCAGGGAGGGCAGGATTTGGCATCAAGATGACCATTGCCATGCGAGGAATTTATGGCTCCAGCCTTGCCCCATCTTTAGCAGAAGTAGGTATTTATACGGGCTGGTTTCCAGGGGCCTGCCAAGGCACCACAGCAGGGCCCTGGCACTGCCCAGCTGCCCATCCATTGCACCATCCCGACCCCACTACAAGCCAGGTCCCAGAGCCACTTCCTCACCCACAAGAAAATCTGGTGTTCAGCAAGGTGAAAAGTGCTGGAGAAGCACACGGGTCCGGGTTCCAGGTTTGCACCCAGGACTCCCCAGTGCAGAGGTGACAGAAGCCACCAGTGAGCCCAGTGGTGAAGGTGCTGGCACCAAGCACGACCACCTGGTCCTGGAGAGCATCACTGCCATGGCCACCATCACTGGCTGGGGCCAGACAGTGGGATTTACCACCCTGCAACCCACCACTGCTTTGCTGTTTGCAGAAGCATTGCAGATTCATTTGCCAGCCCTTCAGATGTTCTGAAACAAACCTTTCCTGACCAGTCTGGGACTGGGCTCCAGCCCCTCACAGCTCTGCTGTGGGAAGCCAGGGTGCCCAGAGAGAGGGACGTTCCCTCCACACACGGTGCAATGGGATTCCACCATATTCCTGCCCTTTCCCTATCCCCTCAACTTCTCACCACCCTCACACCAAATAAAGGCATCAATTTTCTACAAAGTGGTTCAGAGAGCTCAGCTCATTAACTGAACTGGTAATTAGCCTGTAAGGATAGGAGGGCAGGTATGGAGTTGGCTGCTCCTAGAGCTCCCAGGTAGCCAACAACCCAGATGCCAACAGCTGCTGCACCCTTGGATGTGCTCATCCCACAGCACATCCTCTACGGACATACTAGAAGATGCTCACAAAGACACCGAGTACCAGCAACCACACTCACACATGGACAGGACCCACACACGTCCATCTGCCTGGTGCAGCACCCTGGGCTCTCAGGCCCCAAAACCACTTGAGGACCAGCAATGCCAGTGGGCAGGGAAGTCCCTGGTGTTCAGGCAGATCAGCAAGTGAGAGGTGCCGAGGACACAGAGTTCCTGACCATCCCAGCGCACCAAGCCCAGCGGAGCAGCTGTCCCAGAGCAAGGGCAGCCTTGGGGCAACCTTGGCCTGACAGACGGGCTCCTACCTTGGGCCGCTGGCATCTTCCCCTTGTTGAGCTGCTTGAGGCGCTTCTGGTGGGACTTGCCATTGTAGTGGATCTGCGCCTGCGCGGCCGAGTTGAGCTGGATGTTGCAGACCTCGCAGAGCGTGAACGACTGATGCTTCTTCTCCCGCTTCATGCGCTGCTCGGGCTGGCTGGGGAGGCAGCTGCCCATCTCCAGCAGCCTCACCCCGCTCTCAGGGGGGTGGGACGGGCTGAGGGGTCTCTTCATGCCTGCGGGAGGAAGGACAGACCTGCCGTGAGGACAGAGGGACCAGCACAGGGGGGCGGGCAAGGCAGGAAAGCGCAGCGCAGGTCCCGTGCCCGAGGGGTGCTCAGACTGCTTGGATCTGGGGATCTCCCTGAACAAGAGCAGCAGCACTAGCATCTCTGCAAGGAGTTGCATCAGGGAAGATGACACGAGCAGCAGCATTCCCAGGTGGTTAGTGCTGGAGCAGAGAATAACTCAGTTCTTCCAAGTTTCTAGCACCAGACAACACTCCTCATGCCAGTTAAAGCCTTGTTCGCTCCCGGGCAGCACCACGGGTTTGTCCAAGCTGGACGGTGACCAGCTCTTTGCAGGCAAGAAATCCAGGACCTGTGTGCTGCTCTGGTGCCCCACAGCCCAGCCCTGCTGCAGCAGGAGCAGCCCCAGCACCCACACCTTGAGCCACCAGCACCATCCTGCCTGCACCAAGATGCTACCTGTCCTGAGCACGGGGCCAACGTGCATCAGCCACATGAACTCCAGACCTGCACAGGGACACCCTGGGGAAGAGTTGCCCACAGAGGGGTTCAGATCAGCCAGGAATGGTCCTTGCCTTGCAGACACACTGTCCCCACTGCCCAGAGTCCACAATAGTGACCCTGGACCCAGAACTGCTGGGACATCCAGAGCCTTGGAGAGGCATGAAGGTCACCCAAGCCCTGCGATCTAGTTACCACCTTGGCACGGGCAGCTGCTGCTTAAGGATACACACGGGCATGCTGTGCTGAGACCCTGAGGGGCCAAGAGCAGGGCAGGGGTGTCTGTGGGGGCCAGATGAGTCCCAAATGTGCACTGCAGATATGTCCCTGGCACCTTCAGGATGGACTGCACAGGCACCGTCTCCCTGCCTGACTTTGTGCAGCACCATCCAGGAACACTTCACCCAGTAGCCCCAGCCCACCAGTCCCGATGGTGGGAGCCCCCAACATCTCCTCAGACACCTTGTGCTTCCCAGCCCTGCACCCTCCCCCCACGGCACTGCTGCAGGAGATGACAAGCCAAGCTCCTGCCGGCTTCTCTCCAGGAAAAGCACCATAACTTCCCTCCCAGGAG